GCCTAAAAAGGGAGGTTGTGCCTTACCTATTCCCCTCAAAATCCCCTTGTGAAACAATGTGATAGATTTCACTAAGCACTGTGGCAATAGTGATTAAACCTTGCCTTGGGCCATCATACATGAGACTGCGCTTTTCAGAGTAAGCACACCTGTGAATGTGCATAAAGATCTCTTCCCACAAGAAGCTAATAATCATTTTTTAACCTTGGGATAAGCCAGATGCAGTAGCACAGGCCTGTAATTCTAGCACTTGAGGAGGCTGAGGCAGAAGGACTACAAATTTGAGCTCAACTGGGGCAACTCAGGACTCAGGGAGGCCTTATCTTAAAATAAAAAGGGCTGGAGATATAGCTCAGTGTGAAGGTCTTGGGTTCATCCTCTGGTATGGGAAAACACAAACAAAAATATTGGAATACACAAGCACACTGACTTGCCTAATTCCCTTAGTTCAAATATAAGTAGAGTGTTGTTTCTATCTCTTCAGATTGCTGCTTCTTCACCTTTGGTGATTCAGGATGATAGTTGAGCTTAACTTTCCAGAATGGGACTTTTCTGGAGGGAGAAGACAGGAGACAAGAGAAAGAAGAAGAGGAGGTAAAGCTGGTAGAGAGAGGAGGACAAGGATAAGAGGAAAGACTCATTAGTAGAAGGAGAAGAGGAGGTGCAAATCAGGTGACTGACTCAACTAGGGAAAGTTCTCAGTCCCTGGGAAACCAAGAGGAGGCAGAATGAGATGTGAGAGGCACCCACAGCCTTGAAGCAACACCATGCACTTGGAGGGGAGTCCTGTGACTGGCGCCTTTCAATCTGTCGTATTGAGGAGGTGCCTGCCATCTGCTGAGGTTGCCTAAAGGGCTGAAAATGCCAAAGCTCTTCCAATCACAGGGCCAAGGCTTCAACACCACCGTTTGCCAGAAGCCATTGCTGCTGGTGCGATTAAGCTTCCACAAGTTCTCCGGGGCCCGGGCCACTGTCAGCAGAGTTCTGCCCATAAATGTTATTCGTTTTTACATTGAACATTGGAATATGCAACTTATACAAATTTAGTTTTAAAGATACTGTGTAACAGAGAACTTTAATATATATTAGATATTGAACAATTTGAAGCTTAAAAATATAAATTATAAGTTAAAATGGCAGAATCATTCTTCCATTCTTTCCACATCAATAAATACATGAAACACTCCTACATACCAGACACTATGCAGATTCTGGAGAGAGAGAAGACAAATAATTAGAAATTGTGTTTTGTGTTATGAAGGAAAAAAAAAACCAAAAACAAAACCAGGGACTGAGATTTCCCCTAGAATATCTTTTCCATTTCAAAGGAAATAAAAATCATTTGCAGCATTAAAAGTTTTTGAAGTACTTACACTTCTTCCATATACAAAAAGTTTTTCAACAAGTACAACAGAAACATTCAATATTCAGTAATGGTAAGAATTAAAAAACATTTATCTCAAAAAAGGAATAAGAATCCAGATCAGAGATCAATAAGACCATATCATTAAAGACGATCTTTTCTTGTTATTAGAGAGCTTTAATGTGATTCTCTGTTTTCAGTAAGCCAGAATCAAAGGGGAGAAATGCAGTGGTATCTTAGTTCATGAACTTGATTCTTTCCATGATTCTGGCCCCAAATTGAGCTGGACAAGAACTGAGTCAAATTCGGTGGTTAGGTTCAGTGTTGACCTTAGGGAGAAATTTGATTTGGTTCTCATCCAGTTCAGTTTGTGACCAGAATCATGGAAAGGATTAAATTTGTGAACCAAGGTACCACTGTATTTACACTGCTCTTGCAGTCAGAGAGAAATAAATCAACTTTCTAGGATACACTTTTCCTAACATTTATCCATAAAAGGTGTCTCATATGGGTTTCGCACTGCTAGTGACACTAGTAACTACTGTTCTTCAAATGAAAGAGGAGAAAAATTCTGCTATCCCATAAGCACTAGGAGGATGTGGGCCATCCGCTGTCCATGCCTACTACAGCACCTGGCACCCAAGCAGGCACACAAATTTTTGTGGAGATGAGGAAGAGCCAATGAGAACAGGATATCATTCTGAGATTGGGCTGCAGAGACAGCCCTCCCTTGTTAGGTGATACTGTCTTTTCATCATGCTAGAAAACAGACTGAAGTTTGGTCTGCAGAAGTAGCAGGCTGCCTATCGAGACTGCGAAGGAAAATGGACGGTGGGTCCCCTGAGAGCTTTCAATTTGGAAGCACTTCTAAGCTTTACAGTACCAACACAGAACTATACCAGCTGTGATTCACCAGATCTAGCAAACAGCACAAGGGATACAAATCATTTACTAGAAAGGATGTCTGGGGGTAAACCCATGAAGATGGCAATGTCAGAAAAGGAAAGGGAAAATGAGAGCAGGAACAGACTGAGTGAAAAGGCAACTCAGACCTAGTGATAAAGCAAATAATAGAGGGAAGAGACTTATGCTATAGTCGTGGAAGGTGAGGTGACAGTGACGTTAACTGGACAAGGGTAATGTCCAAAATGCACAAATTAGTCAGTTAGTAGACACTGGGCCTCAGGGTTTCCGAGACAAAAACTACTCAGGAGTGCTAAGGTAGAATAACTGGAGATGAGAAAGGAACTAAAGCCCCAGTCTTCCATGATAAGCCTGAAGAACAAACCTAGGCAGAACCCCATGGTGACAAAAATGTGGGAGTGACAAATTTATTGGACACGAAGTTGTCAAAAGATTCGGGCTACTTCTCACAGCCATGCTCCAAGCTGACAGCCAAGGCTGTGTGTCTAATCTGCACTGTGTGATTCGGGTATGGTGTGTTAGTCAGCTTTCTATTGCCAAGACAAAATACCTGAGAAAGGAAGAATGATTAATATAAGCTCATGGTTTCATGGTTGGCAAGCTCCAGTCTGAATGGGGAACCCTGCCAGGCTAGTCTGTAGATTTTTTTTAGCTTCTCTGTGCCTCATTTCTTCCTTACCCCTTTTCTTAACGGAGGGTCTTATCTATAAGATGAGGGAGGCCAGAGAGCTTCCTTATGGCCATTTGCAAGACAAAAATGCAGGGAAAGATTATACTTTTAGTTTCTATGACCCACCCAAGAGAAGAGAAATTCTAGCTTCTATGCTGACCTTGGGTAGAAAAAGGAGTGCATGAAAGAGTGCAGAAGGCCACACTGCAACTTTGTTATCTGAGGCCTAAACATTGCTAAGACCCCAATGTCACTGTCTGACAGCTTCTCGCTCTGAAGCCGTTCCAAAGCTGCTTCAGGAAGGATAAAAGCCAAATACTTTCATCTGATTTTTCAAGTTATTTAGGAAATTAAGAACTATGGGAGTTATGAGCTGCCAACTCCAGGCAAAACCCAAAAATATATATCATAAAAATCACATCCACACTGCTTCTGTGCTCAAAATCTTGCAGTGACTTCCTACTACAGTAATATTCAAATTCTCTTTTGCACATCCTGCCTCACACTCAGGCCATGCCTAAAATGCTATGCTTAGATTGCAGATGAGGGAAAAGCCCAATCAATGCCTGACAAGCCCATACTGACCTGTGAGAAAGAGTGACCCAAACTCACCCTTCCTTCCTGTCCCTCTCTTTTCTTTCCTTCCTCCCTCTTTCAGGACATGATTTAATCCATGGCCTTGCGCATGTCCACAAGTGCTCTACCACTTACCTATTATCACCAGTCACCCCCACTCTTTTGAGAAAGAGTCTCATTAAACTGCTAAGGGTGGCTTCAAACTCTTGATCCTCCTGCCTCAGTCTCCAGAGTAGCTAAGATTATGGGCCTGAACCACAGCCAGCACCTGGCCAAACCACTTATTTAGGTCAATTGCTATGGTTTCTCCCAGTGCACTGGTGGGAAATCAACCTGCCCTCCATGCTAGCCATACTGGGATGACCTGAACTCTAGCACTGGAGCCCAAGGTGATAACCCTCTGGTTGGACATCTTCAAGGTAAACCACCTCTGGGAATGCTTGGCTTGAAATGCTGTTCAACAGGGTAGTTGTATGGCAGCCAAGAAACCTGGGCATTTCCCCCTCCCTTTAGAAAGTTTAAAGGGTGAGAAGCATAGATTCCAGGGAACAAATGTGCTGTGATTTCAGTTCTCCCTGAGGCTCTACTTTCCAGTATTAGCACCTACCATATTGCTGGGTATTCTTGGAAGGAACTCCCAAACAAGAGACTACACCCATGTACTTTGGAATCACAGACTAAACTAATTCACAATCATGTGGCAACGGAAAGTTACCTAACTTTGCAGGGACTTCTTTTGCCTTTATTTAAAATGGGGACAATAATAACTAGCTTAAAGGTAAAGATGTGGTGAAGATCAGAAATATTAAACACAACACTGTGCCTAGCACCAACAAATGGTGATTACTTAAAGCACAGGGTTTTTTGTTTTGATGCAAGCCCAGACTTCGTTACACAAAAATTATCTCAGCTATTATTGTTTTGTGTACAAAAGACAAGAAAGCCAAGGTTCTGGCCTATGAGTAGCTTACAATAAAATACAATACAGCCAAGCCGGGAGTGGTGGCGCACACCTGTAATCCATGCACTAGCGAGGCAGAGGCAGAAGGATCGCTGTGAGTTCCACACCAGCCTGGGCTACATAGTGAGTTCCAGGTCAGTCTCAACTACATAGTGAGACCGTGTCTCACAAAACCAAAAAACAAAACAAAAAACCATTACCACCACCACCAACAACAACAAAAAAACAATACACATCCAGTCAATCCTTTAGTAATTTTCAGGGGCTTTAGGTTTGGTAAAGGAATCCGCAGGCAGCACTAGCAGTGGCGCGCTCCGTTCACAGACGGCAATCAGGGCCGGGGAGGCACAGAACCCAGCGTATGGCCAAGGCCACCCGCGCCAAAGCCTCCAGGTACCTTCCGGGTCCGGGTGGCCACTGCCACTCTCACCCTGTCCGCTGCAGAACACACCCTGGGGTGGGAGGGGCCGTCCCGGGAGGCCGCGGCCCGAGTCAACAGAACTTACCAGCACGAAGTGCACCAGGGCGTCGTAGCAGAGCCAGGCGAGC